AGTGTAACTGCAACCTCAGTCATGAACCTTTAAGATTAATAGTAAGGAATACTCAGCATAGCTGCAGGAAAGTGAAAGCAAGAACATTCCAGAATGAAGCCAACAATGCCACCCTCTTTTTGCCATGCCCAGATGTGGGGTGGCTACTTAGCCAGCTGGATGGGGAAAGAGGAGGGGCTCTGCGAGGTTGATCTGAGCCCTCCCCAGAGATTGGCCGGTGGAGGTTTCAGGGTTTGGGCTTTCAGTGGGAGTCTCCCTAAGATTCCCTTCCACTCTTTGCTTCCTTCTTTTGCGGTAGCAACAGGTAGCAAATATTTTTGCTCAAATTCCTCCACTGTAACCCCACTCAAATACCAAAGTACTGTACACTTTGGGGATTTGTAGAGGAGTGTGAAGCAACTCAAAAGCCTGGACTGTCTGGTGTTAGAGCAAGGGATGCACAAATGCTCCTGCTGTACCTAATTTGGACACTTTTGGCTGAAGCTGGTGCAAGCCCTTCAGTTCCATTATTCGGTTTTTCAGCTGAACACAGTGCTTCCCCATCTTGGGTCCCAGATGTTCTTGGACTACAATTCCCAGAAAGCCTGGCCAGCACAGCTAATGCTCAAGGTTTGTGGGTGTTTTAGTCCAAGAACATCTGGGGACCCAAAGTTGGGAACCACTGACCTCATCACATTGAGTTTATATTCATCCAATTGCCCTTTATAAATTCCTGTAAAGAATAGTAACAGGAGCGGCAATAGTATTGAAGCCCCCACCAAGAGGCATAACAACTGCACACCTGGGGCAAAAAAAGGGGGACGAGGCTGCTTTGCATTTGCCTTTGTGTCATGTGATCAGTTTTGTAAAAAGCTTGGATTCATCCATTCTTCTTCTGCAGTGATCTGCTTTACCATTTGCAGTGTAACTGCAACCTTAGTCATGAACCTTTAAGATTAATAGTAAGGAATACTCAGTGTAGCTGCAGGAAAAGGTTGGTAGGTAGGTAGGTAGGTAGGTTGGTTGGTTGGTTGACATTTCTGTACCACCCAATTAGCATTGTCACTCTCTGAGTGGTTCACAGTGTACGATAAAAACATTACTGTAACTAAAAGATGATATAATAGATGCAGAAAGCCAACAATGCCACCCTCTTTTTGCCATACCCAGATGTGGGGTGGCTACTGAGCCAGCTGGATGGGGAAAGAGGAGGGACTCTGCGAGGTTGATCTGAGCCCTCTGCGAGGTTGATCTTTAACTCAAAACTATAAAATAAATAAAATAGACTAAACCTTGTTGCTAGCTGAAACAAAAACCCTGCCTTTAAAAATACACAAATTAAATTACTGCTATTACTAATAATTTCAAAATGAATTTTAGTGTTGATCAATGTCTAACAAGGGCAGTAATTGTGAGCTCAGTAACGAACCATTTTTTCAATGCTTAGAGGATCAGAAAAACCTTTAAATACCTAAGCAACAACAAAAATTTCAAGGAACTTAATCATTTGGTAACAAGCTCTTTGATAGAATGATGGTGGCGCTCAAATCAGTACTTTGCACAAATGGACAGCCCAGTATTAACATATTCTTTTGAAACTGTGGTCTGGAAATGCAGCAGTTCTGATATTTAAATAGGAAAATCCGAGGTGTCTTGTCAAAATGCCAGTGCTGTCCTCCAAAGGCATGCATAGAGCACCATTATATGCAGAAATAATCCTCACTCAGATGCTTGATCTGGTGTGCACTTGTTGACCTCAGGAGTCAAGCAGTCAAGCATTGAACCTATTTCCATAGAAGTGTGATTCCATTTCATCAGATGACAGGAGAAAACGATAAAGGGCTCGTGGTAGTACAGCTTGGAAGTGAGAATCAACCTACATTAGAGAAAGTCTCGCCGCGCAGGTATGCATGGCCTGAGAAATCATTACATGAAACACACTCCAGTCACCTCCTAGGTGATAATGTTGCTAAGCAACAATCAAACTGGAGGCTGAAATTAGGTCATCTTCAGGTTGAAACTGAGGGATTCATCAGTGCAATCCAAGACCAAGAGACAAAATACTATCAGAAAATAATAAAGGTATATAGGGCCTGACATGAATGTATATAACAGCTGGATGCCCTAAGTTAGCATCAACAGACTACATGCACAGACATAACCAAGCCGCAAAGACTATTTTTTGAATAGGTGGCTAAATCTTACAGATTGCTTGCAGGTTTTTCATCCATTTGATCAATTCTAGCTATCTCCCATTTTAGAAAACGAAACCCCCAAAGACTGTATTGAGTCAAGCAAGTTGTCACAGATAAAGTGGTTAATGTTTTGCAGGTTTTTCATCCATTTGATCAATTCCAGCTATCTCCCGTTTTAGAAAACGAAACCCCCCAAAACTGTATTGAGTCAAGCAAGTGGTTAATTTTAGTGGTTTAGGTTTCTGGCTGCGGAGGCAAAGGTTGGGAGTTTGATTCCCCACAGGGCCTCCCTGACAAGGGTTGGACTCGATGATCCGTAGGGTCCCGTCCAGCTCTGTAGTTCTAAGGTTACTGATAAGCCAGCTATTATATGCCTGGATAAGCAATAAAGAAAGCCAAACTATAGAAGGTAAAGTTCCATCAGCACAAGACCTCAAAAGTAAAGAAAAACTCAAAATTGTGAAGTGCCAAACATTAAGGCAAGAAATTAAATGCACATGGAATCAAAATCAGGGCATCCTCCTCACTGTACTAATTGCAGCAACCAGAACTGTTCCAAAATTTTGCTTACTAATTTAAAATAAATGTCAATTGCTGCTCATTTGCTTCCTAAAATTCACGAATCAAATAATTTTGAAAATGTGTGATGTCACCCACAGGTTTTTTGTGACTTGGCTTCTAGTGTTTAGGCTTGACTCTTTGGTCCACTTTAGGCATGTGGTTGCTGAGAAATGAGAGGTGCAGCATAATCATCATCATCATGGACCCTAGGAATCTTGTCATGTTGTCCCTTTTTACCAAACAATCTCCACTTTCAATTTTAGGGTCAAAATATTTGTTTTCGTAATAAAAAATCCCCTCTCCCATTTGTGTAAGATTATATCAATGCTGTTGTCTACATAAAAGAAACCCCAGTAACCTTATTAATTGCCTTTTCTGCTACTTCTCTGATTCCTTTGGTGAGCTCACCAACTCAGAAATGATACATGTGTTATTCAAACGAAATACCTGCATTCAATGAATGACTGAATTTGTGTGTCACAGTAAACTGTGGTTTATGTTAACTATGTTTGGTAGTTTAAGCTGAGATTTTCAACATACATAGCTAAATAAAGCAGGGCAGGGAAAATCTGGTGAAATTGGGAGCCAATTTTATTGTTGCAGGGTGCTCTGTGGGCCACAGGAGAAACTCTAAGTCAAACCACAGGTGAGCAAAATGTCATTTTTTATTTGGAGGAAAAATGTATGTTTTGCTTTTTAAAAATGTATGGAGGGTATCTAAATGGAGAATCACAGTCCATGAGTAATTTGAGGCACCTCAGTAATGACCAGGAGGATGTAATGTCACACACAAACTGCATTATCCCCATTCTTGGAATAAACAATGGCTTATCTTTATAGATAAGTTCTCAGTGAGTTTTTCTCGCACCCTTTTGTCAGATTGTATTTGAGGATGGGTAGCTGGGGGGGGGGAATCACCTAGAGACAACAAATCGGGGACACCTGAAGATTTGGAGATCATGCTAAGCCCTAGTTTACAAAAAAATAGGAATCAAAGGACAACAAGAAATTAATGGTTCAGGGTTTGCCTGATGGATGGTTAACACACCATGGGCTTGTTAGGACAGGTGGAGGTCAACAAAACACAATAAGGTAGACTTCAATAAAGCACAGGCCTAAATCAGTGGATGGAGAAGCACAATAGTGTCTATTAGTATTAACTTCTGTGTTAATTGAGGAATTGCATGCCTACAGTAGTAAAGGCAATAAGGAATCCTGTATGTTGTAGGATCCCTGATGGGTTGGAAAGGTCCCATATATATGGTCAAAGAGTCTATTTCCATATTCGCAGAAGTGTATATATCTCAGGTGGAGGGAGGACAGCAGGAAAAGCCATATTTCCACCCTCCCGTAACAAAAGAAGAAAGACACACACTTATCCCATGAAAGGGGGGGGGGCTAGAAATGGGATGACATGATATTATGCAGATCAGGGTGTATGTTTCTGCCACTGAGGGTGACTGAGAGTAAAGACAATCTGATAAGGAAAGCCAAACAATCATCAGAAAAGGAAGCAATTTATTAGCCTCGTTAGGAATGCCCATAAAAATAATATTAAGCTCGATCTTTATTCTGAGGAAAAGGGGACCTCTCTCAAAAAAATAAAAATAAAATACAATAAAAAAGGAAAAGGGGAAAAAATGAAGGAAAATGTAGGCCATAAAAGGAGAAAGCATTTATCATAAAGCTAAACACTTCCTATGGGATTTTCCTCCCATATCATGCATTTTTTGTTTTGTTTTGTTTTGTTTTTTGTTTTTGTTTTTAAAAAAGAGGACCAGAACATATTTTAAAAATAATAATCATTAAAACCCTCCTCGCACCTTCTTATAGCAGACAGAACCACTCAGAAAACAAAGGGAACCGAATCAGTGACTCTGTAATGCACGGCCATCTTAGTTTTTAGAAAGATGTGTCTTTTCCAGCACCTTCTCCCAGTTCTGGTTTTTTGTCTCAGACACTCTCAGAGCCTTGGGCATGCTTGGGCTAGCCATAATTCTGCCCATACAAAAATCGTAGAACCAGAGGGGGAAATAACAGAACATGAGGAGATACTTATAAGCGTTCTTGCCGGGAGTGTATAAGCCATGTGGACGCTCGGCCAGTAAAGCGTGTAAAACATCACAGAGCACAGGGGAAAAATCAGAGGAGGAGATAGAAGGAATGTGAGTGAGGAACATCTTCAGACTGTGGATGTAATCTTCGCCATAATCTTTCATCACTTCAGGGGAGAGGCCGTCAAGAAGCTTCTGTTCTTCCTTATTCCACAGCTCAGGTGTTCCGTAAATACCTAAGAGATCAACCGATTATTTATGAATGTCTGGGAATTATAGTTTGTCATTAGAAACCGTTCTCATTGGAATGGAATATGAGGAATATCTAGGAAGGAGGGCTTGTGAGGTAGTATCTTTTCTTAAGGTCTAGGTCAAAACATGCCTGCTAAAGTTCTGTCTGTAAAGTCCACAAACAGGGCATGAGCAAATTCCACTCATATTCTCCCACAACTGGTTCCCAGAGACACGATGCCTCTGATTCTGGAGGTAGAATGTAGCCTTTAGTAGAATTTAAAAGTAGCTGTCTAGAAGTAATTGCATTACTGGCAATGCATAGCCTTGGAGTGACAACTGGCGGGGTTAACTGGTGATGGGAGACAGTAATGATCCTAATCAGATCTTGGGAAATCTACTTTCGGTGGACTACACTTTCCCTATTCCCCTGCACAACATGGCCCATCTCTACACATCCCCTCTTGGTAAGACTCATGAGCAAAAACTTCTATTGCCTGGTGGAAAATCCCGGTCTTGAAGGAGTCCTACTTTGGAAACGTCAGGAGAAAGCAAGATTCCCTGGAAAAGACAGTAATGCTGGGAAAGGCTGAAGGCAGCAGGAAAAGAGGAAGGTCAAATACAAGATGGACTGACTCAGTAAAGAAACCCAGAGGCTTAAGCTTACAAGAACTGATTGGGACACTTGAAGGCTGGACATTTTGGAGATTGCTCATTCATAGGGTCACCATATGTCAGAGGCCCTATACCATCATCCTGATGTATACACAAGTTAGAAAAATAAACAAACAAGCAGTGGTTTAACCTGTTCTGAAGGCTGATGGATGAACTGTAGCTACTTTAATGCCCCATTTTGAAAGCTCCTGTCTCATGACTCCGGAGAACATGGTCAGCGCAGCTTTGGATGCTCCGTAGGCGGCAAACCGTGGCATAGGGATACCCCCTAGGGGAAACAATCAAAACCAGTTATGAAGGCTTGCTTGCTGATGATTTAAAAATGAAGGATCACACAGTCTTGTCAAAATTTATGCTGTGGTTAAAGATAAGGTGGTGGTGTCACAGGTTAAACCGCAGAAGCCTCTGTGCTGCAAGGTCAGAAGACCAGCAGTCATAAGATTGAATCCATGCGATGGAGTGAGCTCCTGTTGCTTGTCCCAGCTCCTGCCAACCTAACCGTTCAAAAGCATGTAAAAATGTGAGTAGATGAATAGGTACCACCTCGGTGGGAAGGTAACAATGTTCTGTGTCTAGTCGTGCTGGCCACGTGGCCATGGAAACTGTCTACGGACAAATGCTGCCTCTATGGCTTGGAAACAGGGATGAGCACCGTGCCCTACAGTCGGACATGACTGGACTAAATGTCAAGGGGAACCTTTATCTTTACCTTACCTAAAGATAAGGTGCAGAGCGGACAGTCTACCAGCAGACACCTGCATACACAAATTAGATGGTCTTGCCGGCTAAAGGCAATGCTTTGCTAGGAGTACCTGATTTATTCATGCTTCCCCTCCTTCAGAGAAGTGTTCCTGTTTGCAGCATAAACACAGTGTAATGCATGCGCTATTTGGTCAAGAGTTAGATGAATACACAGTTCAGAAAAAAGAAAGTGAACTTTTCCCCACACTTATCTCTCTGGCTTCCCAACGGAAATGTTCCCCAAAGAAACAACATCAAATAAAATGAAAGAGTGTGTGCTTTAACAGCATGCAATTGTGATTTTTCGTTTCCTTTAACATGATTATCAAGTTCCTCTTATGAGGTCAGGGTGACTTTAGAGATGTGGGTGTGTGCTCAGGTGAGCACAAAAGAGGTGATTGAAACTATGAGGTGCAGAAAGGTATGTGCGCGTTAAAACACGCTTGCCTACAAGCAATCATTGTTGATGTTGCCATTACACAGATGGAACCAAGCCCTGTGTCAAGGTTATCACTGAAGCCACAACTTATGAAGAGTCATGTGTCTCCCTGTGTAATGGAAAAGAGTGTGTGATGGGAAGCCATTGTGTTAATGTTTCCTAACGGGATGGGTAGATTGCTCTGTACCAGTCCTTGATTGTTCTGCTGTTTTCTTTCACTTAAGTAAATGCTACTTCTCCTCAATTCCAGTTCAAAATAAGAAGATATGATGGCTGAAATCAAGTATAAAGTTGCAATGAGATTTGCCCCATTGAACTAATGGAACTTGCAGTGGATCATGAAAGTCCCACTGATTCAGAGGACCTACTCTAACTGTTATTCACTATTGGATTGCACTCATTAGGAGTCAACATCTACCTTGGAGTATGCCCAGTTAGCAGCGATGCTATAGTTTCTTAGTTTATCGTCACTGTCTTCTTTCTGGCTTCACTGCCCCCATTATCACTGTGTAAAACACTAAAAATAATACGCTTGATGTATGTGTAACAAAAGTGAGGAACTTCAGTCTCTGGGCTAAAGTTTTCAATTTGGCTTTTAGTTGTTGTTTTTTAAGTGATGCAGCACATAGGCACTACCCTAATACATTTAAATATGTACATATATTTCCTGGGCTCCCAGACTAGTCCTCTGGGTGTCCTCAGACAGGCCCATGTTTTTTCAGGACATAATCATTTGGTAGCTCAACCTTTTGTACAATCTCCCTTCAGATATTTGAAGACACTTCACTGTGTCTTCCCTCCATTGATTCTTTTATCAGCTAAATGTATTGTGATCTTATATGCACTATTTGGAGAAGAACTATGAGCAAAGTGTGTTCTTCGACTTAGGGTGTGATAAACAGTAGACTAGGAGTTGGGTTTCCCTGACTGAATGGACTTCCACCAGCCAAAGAAAGGGGAAGTGAAATCCACTGCCTTTTTTGCAGCTTGTTAACTGTTTTAACTACAATAGCTTTAAATACAAAAGCTCCAAATCTCTCCACATTGGTTCAAGCAATCATACTACCTGAACCAATACAAAGGCATTCAATACCAAAAAATGAGAAGTCCCAGAAGTGGGGGGAAACCTCAATGGACAGGGATGAAAAATTCCAGACTGATTCGAATTGACTTTTACGTCATGTATTTGACAGAAAATAATGGAAATCAGACCATCCCATTCCCAGAGTATTTCCCACCTTATTTGTCAGTGTTGTTGCCTTGACTGCAGACAGCCTCAGTGATTAGGAGACTAGCCCACATTTTGGATGACCCATGTGTATTTATCAGCTTGTTGTTCTGGAGGTTTGCACCCGCCTGCTTCCTCCACTTCTTTTAGTAAGTCCTAAGTGAGACAGACATTTCTGACAAACTGGTTTTTTCACCTGCCGAAAATGATAAATGCCTATGCCATTAGGTTTTGCAATTGGACACCTGCCATGTTGGACGTGAAGCCCAAAACAGCAGAGAAGAGAGGAGGTAACATTTCTTAGCATATTTCCTATTGCCTAGGTTTACCCTCTCTTCATTCATCCCAGGTGTCAGAATGGAAGCTTTGCAGAGGGTTGTCCTTCCAGCAGGAAAAGCTCATGGATGCTGAACCAGCCAGCCGAAAGTGACTCTTATTTCTATTATTACTAATTATTAAGAGGTCCCCCCTCAAGGGCAGCTGTCCATTTTTTAAAAAAATGTATAATAAACTGTTTTCTATGCTGTCCAAATACATTCTACCTCTGTAGTTTAATGATGACGATGATTAATTGTATAGTGTAGTTTTATAATTATTATGAAGGGTTGAATTTTAAGTGTTATGTTTCACAAAGTTGCCAGATTGTGAGTCTAAGAGTATATGCTGTGTTTCTGTGTGTCTGTCTCTGTGTATGTGTGTGGAGAGAGAGAGAGAGAGAGATTTAGACCTCCATGCAACTGGTAATTTCCAACTAGGATACTGTAGATCCATTGAATCAATGGGATTTATGCATGTGTTGCTTTACCATTCCATAGTTGCTTCAGTGGGTCACCTCTCACTGGAACGAGGCACTGGATTTCACCTTAGTTTATAAACTGATGTTTTTACTTCATTTCTAAAAACTTAATTTAACTGATGGGATGCCGACAACTATTTTCAGATATGAAAAATGTGTTAAGGTGTTGAAGAGCCACTTGAATGGCTAGATGGCTCGACAACTATTTTCAGATATGAAAAATGTGTTAAGGTGTTGAAGAGCCACTTGAATGGCTAGATGGCTCGGCGGTTTAGATATCTGGCTGTGGAGCCAGAGGTTAGGAGTTCGATTCCCCCCCCCCAGTGCCTTCTTGACAGGGGCTGGACTCATTGATCCATAGGGTCCCTTCCAGCTCTGCAGTTCTGAGATGATGATGATGATGATGATGATTGGCTTAACCCAATTATTAGTTCAGACTAGAGCAGAATGATGATGATGATGATGACGACGATGATTGGCTTAACCCAGTTATTAGTTCAGACTAGAGCAGGCCATCTGACACAATGGGAACACAGCCCTGTGCATTTGTGAATTACAGACACAAAATTAGCTTCACTCACCTGCCATACTTGAGATGTTAATAAGCCGTCCCTTAGATTTACGGAGTAATGGCAGGAATGTTTTCGAGAGCTCGACGGGACCAAAGAAATTGACCTCCATGCACTGCTTGTAAGAATGCATAGGGAGCAGTTCTCCATCTGCCGTGTATCCCATGATCCCTGCATTATTGATGACACCCCAGAGATCTGTGAAAAAAGAAGAGCATGCAGGTCTGTTGAGAAAGTCCCTGCTGTGGGTCAGAGATAACATTTCCCCCTACAATGAACATCCATAGTTCTAAGCTGCTTCCTTCTGTTTCTAAAAAGTACATCTGATCATACCCTTCCCCTTTGCTACTTGCTTGATTGCAAGGAATCGCATAATGGCCAGAATCCTATCACACTTGTGGTGTAGAAAATAGAAATTGCCCAGTTGATTGTTATGGCTGGCTGTAGCCTCATAGGCATAGAATCATAAAATTATGGCGTTGGAAGGGGCCTATAAGGCCATTGAGTCCAACCCCTTGCTTAGTGCAGGAATATAAATCAAAAGATATCTGCTAGGTGGTTGTCTAAACTTCTATTGAATGCCTACAGTTTTGGAACACTCGCCGCCACTTGCGATCATTGGTTCCATTGTTGTACTGCTCTAACAGTCAGGAAGTTGTTTTCCCCCCTGATATTCAATTGAAATCTGGCTCCCTGTAATTTGAGACCATTGTTGCATGTTCTTCCCTTAGGACTTGAGTTGTTTGCTTGGTCCAGGCACCGAAGTAACTTGAGACCATTGTTGCATGTCCTGCCCTTAGGAATTGAGTTGTTTGCTTGGTCCAGGCACCAAACAGCCAAAAACCTATAAACACAACTGGGGAGGGGGGGGCGGGAGAGGATTTACACATATGTTGCTTCACAATAGGATTTTGGCCCAGTGTAGTAATGAGCAGAAATAGTGAGCTTTTTCTATGGGGAATGCTGGCAGTTTTGCATCAATTTATGGTCAACAGCTTTTCATAGGAAAGTAGAATGGAAGCTGATTAACCTTTTTGCTCCATGATTATAGGTTGGAAATGCTAATGTGCAGAACCAGGTGAGTTAAAGCAGCGCAGGCACAATAATCAGAGGTCGGCTTTAGGCAGGGAAAGATCCAGAGGTAATTAGTTGTACCTGTACTTGAAACGCTTGCTTGCTTCTTTACCTGGTAGCCTGGAGTCATAACAGAGGGAGGGAGGGAGGGAGGGAGGGAGGAAGGAAGGAAGGAAGGAAGGAAGGAAGGAAGGAAGGAAGGAAGGAAGGAAGGAAGGACCTGGTGATGGATGGATGGATGGATGGATGGATGGATGGATGGATGGATGGATGGATGGATGGATGGATGGATGGATGGATGGATGGAAGGAAGGAAGGAAGGAAGGAAGAATGCATCCCCTTCCATCTTTCACACAAACACAGGAGTTCAGGCTCATCTCTAAAATATACAGTAGATCTGTCATATTTAGCAGCAGCATTTCATATCCAAAGAAGTTGTAGGATCATTATTTGACAGCATCTAGTTAGGTTTGATAGCTTAGAAGCAGTAATAGTAAGGTTTTGACAATACTGGAACAACCAACATCTGACTCTTGCTCCCGGTGCCCACATCGGGAAGGAAGGAAGGAAGGAAGGAAGGAAGGAAGGAATGTTCAGCATTTCATGCAAGTTTCTCTTCTAGTCTGACCTGGAGATCCATTGTATTGTCTATCAGTCTCCTGTCCCACGTGTAACCACATCTGATTTAGTTTAGCTTCCAAAATCATATGAAATTGGCCGTGTTCAGGGTCATCTGGCCAATATTGCTCTCAGCTTTTGGTTTTGAAGAAGGAAGGAAGGAAGGAAGGAATGTTCAGCATTTCATGCAAGTTTCTCTTCTAGTCTGACCTGGAGATCCATTGTATTGTCTATCAGTCTCCTGTCCCACGTGTAACCACATCTGATTTAGTTTAGCTTCCAAAATCATATGAAATTGGCCGTGTTCAGGGTCATCTGGCCAATATTGCTCTCAGCTTTTGGTTTTGAAATATGAACAAATTATGAGCCCCCCTTCTAACCACTCCTTTAAAAATAACTCCTAGGCTTATGCTTGCAATGCATACTCATGATAATACCCAGGGCCATAACTCAGGTGGAGCAACCCATATTTTGTCCCAGGGCACTAACATTTAGAGCAGTGGTTCCCAAACTTGGGTCTCCAGAGGTTCTTAGACTACAACTCCCAGAAATCTTGGCTGGCACAGAGAGTGGTAAAGGCTTCTGGGAGTTGGCAATCCAAGTTATGATGGTCTATTCACTTTCCTTTTAAAAAAATCATAAATATTTTGTTTCTTCTGGGGAACCCCGTATTCTACCTCTTCCTTCTTGAGGGGGCTTGCACCTCTACCTTGGGGGAGCGGGAGGCGGATGATGGCGACACTTGCTCCCGGTGCCCACATTGCTAGGTAGGACTCCAACAATACCTCGATTGTGCAACTTCTTTTTTACTTCCAGATAGGCTTCTTTGATTTGCGCAGAATTCGTGACATCCAACTGCAGGACAGAAAGCCTGTCAGAGCCGTTCTTCTTCAGTGTTTCCGCACCAGGTCCTTTCTCATTCAAAACACCAGCAAACACGATGAGTCCTAAGCGGTCAAGGTACTTGGCCAGCTCGTGTCCGAGACCACTGTCGCTTCCTAAAGAAAACCCAAATTAAAAGACACGTCATGCTGGGATTTCTGAAAACGGGTTGCAAAACTTTCCAAGTCATGGATCAGGATGAATGAGAGTCTCTCTTCTCATGGGTCAAGGTGGGCAGTGTATGGCTTCCCATTGAGCTATGGTATCTGATACCAAGGTCAGTTAGATGTGAAGGAATAGCACCATAGAGCTTTGAACATGATTGCTGTAAATAGAGAGGACAATGGAAACGAAGCCCAGCTTACTTGAGCTTGACTGTACCTGCCAATTGGCTCCGGCGATGCTTATTTATTTATTTTATTTTGTATCCCGCCCATCTGGTTGAAACAGCCATGCTTCCTGTTGACTGTATGCCCTCCCACCATTCCGTTCATCTGTGTGGAAGATGCAGCTTAAAAAATAATAATAATAAAATCCACTCTCACTTTGCTAAGGGGCCTCCAATGATTTTGAGAGACATTGGTTTTTTCACCACGTGCTAAGCGAGTTACACAACAGCAACACCAGCTTTTGACTGTGAAGTGGTAACACCTGGAAGAGTAATTATTTGAAAACCATCCTTATCGTCGCGATCATCGTACAGATCTGCTGCTCTTAGTACTTCCCAGCTGAGCAGCAGGATGTAATCTTTCCATCTTGAAGCCCAGAAGGTTAACCAAAGCAATAAAATAAAATAATAATTAAAAAAAATAATTATTAAAAAAATAATAATTAAAAATGATCTTTGCATTCTGAAATCCAAAGTGTTATAAAACATGGGCAGCAGCTAGACTGAAGGAAGGTTGTGGAGTAAAAAAAAAAAGATGCTAATTGATCCAACTGGATCTTTTTTCAAAATTTACCTGGCAAAAGCTACCTAATTCTGGTCATGTTTTTGGAACTCTCCAGAGAAAACTGGTCTCTCCAGCCCCTCCTGCCTGCTTATATCCCTTGGGCCAGAAAAATACACACTTAGGATGATTGGAATGCCTGAGGATTTGAAAGGACCGAAGAATGCGTTTTTTTGCAAGATCCAAGCAGAGTTGCATATACCAAATAACTCTCTCTCTCTCTCTCTCTCTCTCTCTCTCTCTCTCTCACACACACACACACACACACACACACACACACACACACACACCCATGTGCAAAACACTCTCAAGCAAGGCTGAGCTAAAAGCTCAAAAATTTAAGTTTTAAGGAGATTTGATTAGAATTTGGGGAGATCTGTAAAAATAAAGGAGACAGACTACCTGCAGGTCAGATTTAACTGTTTCTTGACATCACCACCACTTTTGCGCAGTGGCAGTGACACTCGGCTCAGCAGATGATGGTCTCTTCCAGATGTGCAATTGTAAGATTATTATTATTATAGAACGAGAGACGGAAGCTCAGGAGATCTGTGATCAAATCCCTGTTCAGCTGCGGAAATTCACTGAATAAACCCACTCCTTAAATTTTACATACTTTGAGAGCCCCTTTAGGGTGACTGTAAAACAGATGCAACTTGACAACATATATAAAACAAACACATCTATTTGGGACTAACATTGGGATTCAACTGTACGGTTTTCATTCCCAGCTGGAATTACGGGAATGTGTTAAAACTATTTTTAATTTCTGAAAATTAAAAGCATATTTAAAAAGCTACAAGGTATAATATCCAACATGCAAAAAACTCTCCTTGGTTTCTAGTTGTTTAGAAGAAACTTGTCTAAAGAGGAAAATCTTGGCACGATAAAGGACAGATAGTAGGGAGAGGGCCAGCCTGGTCTCCCAGATGTCCTCCTAGCCAGGCAGGATGAACTTTGCTTAAGCAGTCAATGTTTTTCATGATGTCTTGGTTAGATTACTGCTATACACTATGTGTGGGGCTGCCCTTGAAGACAAGATGCTGTTATTGCAGAATGCAATGGCCACATAGAAATGAAAGAACTAAAAAAATCAGATCAGTGATGTTGAACTGACCCAAACAGTGTTATCTCACTGGTGTCAGGATAAGACATACTGTTACTCATAGGCATTTGATGGTATGTGACTGACTTTGTTTTTCATCATAGCAGGCCAATTAATTGCCCTTAAGATTTGTCATTCTTGGAGAGAGGTGCAATTTTATATTATCAGAACAATTTTGGCTTCGTTTCCCTTCTTAACCGCTGCACATTTTAAAGGCTTTTAATTTTGTTTCAACAGCTGTGTGTTTTAATTGCCTTTAAGATCAAGTCCGTCTGATACATAAACCTAACAAGGCGTACATGAAATGGGTGTGATTCTTTCACTTTGCCACACCAATCAGCTTTACAGCTGCCTGTGACACAGTGCAAACATCGTAAACGAGGGAGAAAAATCACTTGCTTCTACCTTCAAAAAGCGCACTGAAGTGTGGGGCTGATCCTTGTTCTGTCTTGACCTCCTAGCATAACACATCAGTCAGTACCTGATCTGAAAACATCCATCAGCAAAGACTGCCAGATTTGCTACACTTTTCTGTGAATGGCCCTTATTTTTAGAAACAGTTGACAAATTTCCCTTCTCCTCTTCTCCCCCTCCTATATGTCTGACTAGTAAATAGCAGTGTTCCTTGCTTGGCAAGACATGCTGTAAGCAAATAAGCAAATTGTACTGAAGCGCTATGCACTCCCATAGCAGCCCTTCATTCTTAGAATCAGGTTTGGAGCAATTTATCAAGCTTGCCATACTGCTTGTAAAAAAAAAAAAATATGGAGTGGATTTCTGCGGTTGTTGCTGTTAAGTTATAACCTGGAGGGTGGCAGAGGGAATCCCAAACCGAACCAGACAAAAACCCCAAATGATTGATCTTTGTTGAAGTGGACGTCCCCTGATCATCCATTAGCAATGAAACTAAAAGCCCAGGTGAGAACTTTTTTCATGGCTAACAACTCCAGCCCAGAGAGTCAATGTTTAGTGCAGTGGTCCCCTACCATGGGTAACCCCAGTGTTCTTGGACTGCAATTCCCAGAAGCCCTCCCCACCAGTTGTGCTGGCTGGGGTTTCTGGGATTTGCAGCCCAAGAGCACTGGGGTTGCTCAGATTTGGGAACTGCTGGTGTAGTGGACAGAGTGACAAACGATGGTTCAGAAGATCTGGGTTCAAATCTCCGCTTAGCCATAAAACTCATAAAGCCACTCCTTAATAATAAAAAAAACAATTGCATGCCGTCAAGTCAATTCTGATTTAGGGTGAGCCTTTCCAGGATCTTCTGAGTAGAGAATATATATATACACAAGTGCTGACCATTACCTTCTTCTGGGGGCAGCTCTGATGAGTAGAGAATATATATATACACAAGTGCCTGACCATTACCTTCTTCTGGGGGCACCTCTGGGACTCAGAAGCTTGCCCAAGACCACACAGGCTAACTCTTCCCCCAGGAAGCACAGTGGGGGAATCGAACTCCCACCCTCTGGCTCTGCAGCCAGATGCTGAAACCACTGAGCTATCCAGCCAGCTAAAAACCCATTCCTTAACCATCTCCTATGCCCTGAAAACTCCACAGAGGCTCCATAGGTCAGATGTGACTTGACTGCACTTAAAACACATTGCTCTAGTAACCCTGTACACATAAACTTAAGAGGCAGTCCAACTGGACTGTATACAATTTCCTTCTGAACCCAGATACAGATCGGGTTCTGCTCCAAACTGGAAAAGTGGAAGCCTCATACGTTCTTCTTATTTCTTCAGTGAAAACAGTTTTTTAAAAGAAGGGATAAATAATGCAAATGAATGAATGAATGCAAGCCTAAGGGGTTGCATTGATGCTCATGATCAAGTGTGGAATGTTTCACACACACTCCCAAGAGATGCTATACTGTCGGGGAGAAAAAAACCTAAAAATAAATCCATCAAACAAGAAAAACTCCTGAGTTGTTCCTTCTTACCTGTGATGAGGACAGCTTTGCGGTCCACGGGCAGCATGGCTTGCGTTGGGATGTAAATGCAAAAGACGAGGCATGCCAGAGAGAATAAGCTCAAACCCAGGTAACTTCTCAAGGTGGCGAAGCACAAGATCTCCAAAGCAAAAAGCAGGAGGAGGCCCAGGCAGAAGGGGATCGCTTTCTCCACATGGTTCCTTTTGGCTCGGTAAAGAATAGTCCCTCCGCAGAGCACCGTTGCACCCATGTAGATCAAGAGGGTATTGTCGGCTTCAGAGTGATACCCAGCCATGATGGCAGACAGAAAAGCCCAGCCACTGGGAAAATCAAAATTTAAATACAGCAATAAAGATATAGTTCTTGCAGGGTTCCAACAGCACCTATAGCTGTAACAAAGTGGATCTTAAATGCAAAGAGGAGGAAGAGAGGGGAGGGGGAGAGGAGGGCTCACTTGCCCATTGGGGTGGTGGGAGTGATCTTTGAAGTTTTCAAGTCATCAGTTGCATGCACAGATATATTTGTCTGAAGTAGCTTCTCTGAGCTGCTCCCCAGACAGCATGAAAAGACTTTGACAGTTTCTCTCACCTTTTCATATATATTTTTTTTCCTTTCCAGGAGAGCTCCACCTTCTGAGGGACACCCAGGGTGGATAATGATTGACAGAACCAAGACTGAACATGAAGCAGCAAGACTTGTCCTACGGAAGGTTACAGCTGTTACATAATTTACGCACTCAAGAGGGTGCTCTCAAACGGAAAAGGAGAGAGAACATGAACCTGTTTACACAACAGCGTAGTGTTACTTTTATCGCCCTTTGATGCAAACACTTCCAACCGGGGTTATTTTGCACACACAGCAGGAACTCTTGGGCAGCTTGGATGAGGAGGCACAGAGAATGCTTATCAAATTTGTGGATGACACAAAACTGGGCGGAATAGCTAATAGTCTGGAAGACCGAACCAACATTCAAAAAAAGATCTTGATAGACCCAAGCGCTCAGCTGAGAGCAATGATGACACAAAACTGGGAGGAATAGCTAATAGCCAACGTTCAAAAAAAGATCTCGATAGACCCAAGCGCTCGGCTGAGAGCAATCGAATGGAATGGAACAGGGATCAGTGCAATGTTGTGCACCTAGGGGAACACATGAACACACAGTTACAAGATGGGTGATGCTTGGCCCAGTAATACATCTACATCTCAATGGTCTACCTCTGCAGTTCCCAACCATTGGTCCCCAGATGTACTTGGACTAAAACTCCCATAAGCCTTCACCACTAGCTGTGCTGGCCAGGGTTTCTGGGAGTTGCAGTCCAAGAACATCTAGGGACCCAAGGTTGGGAAACACCTAGATTGTGCAGCACAGGGTCACTTGGAGGTGCAGCATGTCATTTGAGGTGTTCCTTTCATCCAGGTGCAAGGATCGACCACACTGCATCCCAAGCAACCCTGTTTGGCACAATCAAGACAGATCTTCATTCCCTTGAAAGGGAAAGGAAGCTTTCCATTTCTCACAATTATTAACCAGCCAGCTGGCTGTCCCTTTGCTGTTGCCACTTAATGATCTTGAGATATGGGACACTTCCTTTCCACTCGCCTGCAGAGGAGAAGGGAGAGGAAGATTTCCATTTCTTTTTAATTGTTGCTAACCAATACCGCATGCCAGTGATGCTTTAGAAGGGCTTTAAAAAATAAAGTTAAATGTTATAATAATCTTTTCCCCTCCCTCCCATTTTCCATTTGTATCCCAGCAATATTTGCATCCAAGAAGTGTGCTTACTCTGCACTGGGGTACAGGGCTGAATGCCTTCTTAGGCCTCACTTTCCTCTGCTCCTCCGAACCTTGGAGTTCCCTGAGCACTGATGATATTGCCTTCTTATGATTTGCCCCTTTTCCTAGTGCCCACATGACATGCATTCCATCATGAACTAGCTCAATCCTGACAGTCATCCTTGTGTAAAGAAAAGTAGGTGCCTGAGGACATCTGGGGACATCTGGGGCTTCTTGAACCACCCTGAAACTCATCCAGAAATGGACAAGTATTCCCGCTCTGCTTGGTTTGTAGCTTTTTCTCCAAACCCCAGGTTAAAATTATATCACATTTATATATTCCACTGTTGTTGTTTTAGCTGAAGGTTCTGTCTGTGAGAAATTGGGCAGAATACTGGCTGCACACTTTTCTCTATATCCTCATGAGTAAAAGGATCCGAGATCTTGGAAAGTTCCTTTTAAAAAAGAATTGCTTCTAAAAGTACTTTGCTATAGCACCAAGGCTCTTCAGAGGCATTAATTATTGTCACCTCAGTTATAGTTCTGAGAAATTATTCTTTACTTTCTCCTTAGTCAAGAGTGGCTTTAAAAAGTACTGGGTAACTTTTTTTAAAAAATGTCACAAGTCGAGTTACTTCCAAGCTCTGAGATTGTATTAAAAAAAATGACGGGATGGCTTTATTGCCTAGACTATAGAGAAAAGACAGGACTTCTCCTCGCGTGTTTGGCATTTTTCCTTTGAAGCGTAGTGCGTCAGCTTCTCGGTTACATATTAAATATGACACGGATGAATTCACAGGGAAAGAATGATCCATTGAGAGAACATTGATGGCTGAATGGTCTAGATGTCTCTGTTCCTCAACTCAATGCATCTTCCAAAGATTAAATCACTTTTTGGGGAACGCTTATAATGATACCTTGTTTACCTAAGACTGTTTTTGTTTCTTAATGCAACCAACAGCGTCAATTAGCTCAGGTTACAAAACACAATAGCCTTTGCGTGGAAGTTCCGTTTCAGCTGGAAACTAGCAGCTTTATCTTCGCCTTGAGGACGTCCGAATCATTGTATTACAAGACCTTGCAAAGTCTGAATCTAACCAGAATATATATGGCAAAGTGAAATATGTGCTAATGATTTGTATTCTTTCCCAAAGGATGATTTTTTTTTAGCAATGGTGAGTTTAGCGATGGCTATGCATGACAAATCAGAGAAATAGTGGTAAATAATGGCAAAAATCCTGTTGTGTAGCATAGTAAATTGCACCAGAATCCATGAGGATTTAGTGCGTCAGCTCTGTCATAAGTTTCATTTATTCAAGTGAGCCTATTTTAACTGTGATCTATGATGCTAGTGTAAGTCGCAGTTAGAGTAGGCCTGTTTGAATCAATGGCACTTATGAAGGAGCTGGTTTACGAAATTCCAGAATCTTGGGTACCGAGTCCTGAGGTCCAAGTCTAAGTTTAAAATAATCCTTTTCCCCCCAGAAAAAAAAGAGGGGTGGGTGAGTTAAGAGTCAAGAGCCGAGTCTGAGTCATTAGAAGAAGAAAATAGCTGAGTTAAGTCTAAGTTGAGTCACCTGGACACAAGTCTTGTCACCATCCTTGATGTTAAAAGGGCCATAAGAAGGTAGAATGATTTGTAAATTGGCAAAATGGCTGTGCCCCCCCCCAACAGCTTTTCATACAACACATAAAAGGGGATTTCCCCCTTCATTAAATCCTACACTGCTAAATGAGATGTGATTGCGGTTGAACTAGCAGGAAACAATGCTATTATACTTAATTTATACGTAGCTGGAAAAGCACCAGGGAACTTTATAACATCATCCCGCTTGACTTTGAAAGAGGTGTTTTTTTTTCCCTTCCTAAAATGATGGAATGCGTAAAATGAAAATTTAAAGAAAAAGAGTTAAAAAGATCCCATAATATCTTTCTTCCCGTTGCTGTGGGTTGTTCTATTACTTGATTAGCAAAGTCCGATTCAGATATTTGGCTGAAACCATGTAGAGGACTGAAGTAGAGAAATCTAGTAAATAAATAAAAGAGGATAGAGATGGGATACATGCTTAAGCCCTTCTTCCACGTTCCCCTCACCCTGTATGTTGAGCTGTATAGGTTTTCAGAGCTTCTCTGATTGGGAACCCTGATAAACAGAACGTTGGAAACATCTTTTCTTTGATCTTTTCAAAAGAAGAAATTAATTCTTCCCTCGCCCCCACTGGTCAACATTCTAGGTTCTTGTTGTGTCTTTTCCTCCATATGGAAAGAATTTGTTGAATCCCATACATCACAGGTCATCCCCCAAAACTAATTTACAGAAGATTTAGGATCAGCCAGAGAAAATCCTCCTTCACATAGAGCATAATTACAATGTTTCTGGAAATCCCTACCACAAGATTTATTTATGCATTCCTTATACTTCCCCAGTGGTTGGAAAGAAAATATCTGGGTTGTGTGCAGACAAATTTGAAAGAGGAAATACAAAGTAATAAGAAATCAACCAAAGTAAAGCATGGGGCCAAATCCCGTTGCTTAGCATATGAAATTGCACTACAAATGACTCATTGACTCAATGGGTATTTAGTGAGTCAACATAACCATGAGCTCCATTAATTCAAATGAATCTACTCTGATCCTGACTTCCTTCAGCATCCTTTAGGTGAACTAAACATTCATGTAACTTATATTTAAGCAGGCACTCCGGTTAGGAGACGTAAAGAAGACTGCATAGCTGACTTGCATCAAGTGGTTGGCAAACCTTTCCTTTAAAAGAATGTTGTATAACTAGAAGAACGTGTTATAGGTGAAAGCAACATAAAAATAAAGAGAGGGAAAAAAAGACAAAAATCATGAGCTTTCGTGGACGAGTCCATTTCATCAGACAGTGGACAAGTCCATGAAAGTTCACATTATAAATGTTAGTTTTTAAAGTGCCACCATGTTTTTGTCTTTTTTTTTACTTTTTATTTTTTATTTTGTTTTCACCTATAATGCTTGCACAGACTAACACGGCTACCCTTTCTACAACCACAGCTACAGAAGAACATGTATCCTTTTTACAACCCTTGTAGGCTGCCTCTAATAGATGTGGCTGAGATGGACCTTTTTTGGGCTGGGATGACTCTGAATCTATTCAACACTAACCAAATGTTCTTCCCTGCCTTTGAATTCAAAGAGAGCCCCACCTTCCTGCTCTGTGTTTTTTCCCTCTCTTCAGTCTGTTGAAGTCAATGGGTGTTTGTTTTTTTTTTGTTTACTGTTCATCAGTTCACAAGTGTAAGTAATGAAACTGTTTATTCTTTCTCAGAGCGGGCTATTGAGACTCAAAGTGCCAACGAATGAGAAAAGGGTGGACTATCTGGGGAACATGTAGCTATTCTCCTCCCTTTCCTTCTACTGCATAGCAAAAGGAATTTCAACCAGAAATCCAAAACTGTGCAACAGAAAGTATATCCTAAGGGCCTGTAGTGTTACTTGGCCTAAATATACCATGTAGTAAGCAGCATGAAACGTCCTGCAAGGGCCCGCCCAG